GTTCCTGCTGTAAAAAAAGGAAAACTTAAAATAATTAATTTAAATTCATTTTTAAAACAACTTTTTGTACAAAAAAACAGAAAAATATTTAGAAGATGTTTGAGCGGAACAAAAACAGCCCTGCAGATAGTTGAAGGCGAACATTTCAAAAAGGCATATGAAACTATTAAACGCCGCTCAAGAAAGACAAAACACAGCTCGAACACATTTAAATTATAGTTCCAGCTCATTTAAAGCATAGTTTGAGCACAGTTGAAAATTAGGGTCGAGCACAGTCAAATCAAAGATTGAACAATTCGACTTATTTTTTCAAATTTTTAGTCTTTTTTGTTCCTACCGAGAAAAAGTTAAGAAAAAAATTCGATTTTATGAACAAATAATTAACAAAAAAAAACGCCTTGAAATGAATCAACTTTGCTTAGAAATCATGACTAAATTGACCTACAAACCTAATTTTCTGGTAGATCTGGTCAAAACATTCCAAAATCTGAGCGAGAAGGTCATATTACACGTCGACTCGATACCTCGACCTCAGTGATCAGTCCAACTTATTTTTCTGTACATCTCTAAAATTTCAATTTGGCTTCTATTCGGCCAAAATATTCCTAACTAACTCATCAGATAAAAACCCAGTTTCCCAATACACATTTGAATAATAACTATTTATGGCTAATGACAATTTTCATTGATAAACTTGCTCCTCAGCCTTCTGTTTCTGTGATGTTTTGTTGAGGAACTGCAAGGCCACTCCGTTGATGCAATACCTGGTGTCTCCCTCGACATCTGGGTTGTGCAGTTTGGCATCGTCGAACTTGTGCCCCAAATGGGCTCCGCACACTTTGCAAACTATTTCTATCATATATCTAGACAGATATAAACATGTCAAAATTAAGGAACTCATTATTGAATCGTAGAAACATGGCGTTGGATTCAAAATAATGGCCCTTCTTAACGCTTCAGGATTTTGATCTTCATCCGAATCCACATTTAGGTTTTTCATAGGGTCGAACTGTTGTCGTAATAAAAACACTATTTTCATCATATGGAAAGCGCCGAAAAATCCCAAAACGCTCACTTTCTGCAAGGATTTTTTCAAAAAAACCTCCTGCTGGTTTCAAATTAGTTTTTACGAAAACTCAGAAAGTCAATGGTTAAAGTAAAAATTAAAAATATGTCCCTTTTTTGTTAGCTTAAGATTTTTTCTCTTTGATAAGAATAACAACATACAAGCTTTTCAGCTCTTCACGTACAACCGCTGACATTTGCTCACTTACGAACAGCATGAGGTTTCCCTGGGTAGAGAAACTTGCCTCACCCTGATGCAACGAATAATAATTGTGGCCTCGTTTCACTGACCTTTTTGAAAAAGAGTGGATAAGTTGGGCACTTCTTTGCAGTTTCTCAATGTAGTTTTTCTTAGGATTGCTCTAGATGAAATGCTACCTGTGGATGATTTATGCCAAGATGTTAACACATAAAGGTAATCAGGGACAAATCTAGAATTTTTCCGAGGGGGATTCTCATAAAGTTTTGAAAACGTCACCGTAATTTTCCGATCTCCTAGAATGTCCTAGACCTCCCAAACTCTAAAAAACCCTATTTTGCCAATTTGGCTACATTTTAGGAACGTTTCTACAAAAGATTGTCGATTTGCCCTCTCTGATTTAGTGTAGACTGGCTCCAAAGGCGACTGAAACGTTTTTTAGGGTCGACCGAAAATGGATGCCCTAGTATAGAAGCATAGGCGGACTCTGTGGGAGGTATGGACGTTGATTTCTAAAAAAGATGTCCATCAACCCTGTCCCTGTCCTAAATGCGCATCTGAGTGCAACAACGTGAAAACAAGCTTATGTTTGTTATTATCAACAGTTCATTCACTTAATCAGTCTCAAGAAATCAGCGCCTACCTTGGCATCTCTCGCAAGTCCTCTATCTCCACCATATTCTGGAAACTGTCGACGTTGAATGCAGGCCACCCACACTCAGAGATGAACTTGTCCTCCGATCTGAACAGGGGCGCATCACAACACACACAGTGGTACACGCCACTTTCATCCTCCTTCCACAGTTTGGAAGTGTGGGGATCCTCAGTACCTCGATGTCTGGTAACATCTAATGCGACTTCAGAGAGACCTGGAGTACCGATCATCTATTTATTCATCAGACGCCACTGCATAATGCAGAAAAAACCACACCCACAGTTTAAATCAGTGAGAATAATGTTTTAAATTTTACCTTGGGTTCTAAATTCGATTTATAGCAAATCAGAATCCAGCATTGGACATGCGCTTAGCAAATTAATCCAAATTATACGCTGGGGAAAATCTTATTTAAGAAAAAGCTGGGGAAAATGTTTATCAGGGGGAAAGGAGAGAGTGGGTTAGTGGATGTTAACTTTAAGTTTCTAATGGATATAGCCTTAATTTAAGTTAGGACCTCTCTGTTTCCAGTCCTCGTCTGACAGAGTAGAGTATGAAGTGAGCAGTTTGGTGGGATCACTTGAGTCGAAAACTGCTGAAGATGAGGTTTTTGCTCGGTTTAAAGTGATTCCAGTTTTTAAGTTAGACATCACTTTGTTTGCTCAAAATGATACTCGTCAAAAACTAATTAACTTATTCTTCGTTCAAAGTTTGATAAAAACCAGTTCTACTATTCAATAAACTGACGTTATAAGCTTGCTATCTTGAGGTCAAAAGCACTTAGCTGCATATAATAAACTGACGTTATAAGCTTGCTATCTTGAGGTCAAAAGCACTTAGCTGCATATTACTAGCTTCATTTTGTTCGTTATTGAGCAAACAATATTTGGATTCAATTAAGAGTTAGTAATATCAGAGCTCATTCAAACCCATCGATCATTTTCTACCAACTCAAAAAGATTTGCCTATATTCGGGGTTTCGGTTTTCTTTCGTCGGCCATACTTGACTCAGCTCGGAAAGCTCTGACCAGCTCGAGAAAAATGTATATGTTTTGCATGTTTCGACTATCTCGATCAAAAAAAAACTCAGACCGTATTTGTTCGATTCAGTTCAGATGTAGATGAACCAACTCGGTCAGAGTTGGTTATGTGTCGGCTTCGCCTAGCGAAGATAAAATGAATTGAATTTGCTCGAATCATTTCAGATGTATCGATACATTTTATTAAAATTTTCATTTAATGTTTTTTTTTTTGGAAAAAATTGCTTAGTTAAAAACTTTCCCATACGAAAACTGTACGAACGGAAAAGTCTTTAAAAGGTCAAAGATATAGGATTTTTTGTAGGATGGAAAACTCGGGTTTATCTTTGTATGTGTTTCGTAAGAAACTCAACAGAAGCTTAGAACATTTTCTTAAAAAAATTTTTAACAGAAAAACTGTCGGACAGACCAAATAAAACTGTGAATGTGCAGCAAATATCTATGTACAGTAGCGTGAGGGCGGGTTAGAGGCCACCACTTTGATAAAATTTTACGAGATCCATTTTTGGCGGACCAAAATCAAAAATTTTTTAAGAGCGCCTTTGGCGCAATATTAATTAATCTTGAGACAAAACTTGAGAAAATAGGGTCCTAATAGTAATTTCTGAGAGCTCGGAAAATCAAATTGGTCAATCTGCAACTTAGAAAAATGTTTCCACACGCCACTGTCTACACATATGCAAATAAACATAGATACCTTCATGCACATTTATCGTGTTCTTTGATTTTTGCAACAGCCTATCATTATTAATTAGAAAAGTGCGCCACAATCGGAAGAATTAGATTTTAATGTGCTGGATTTAGTTTTATACATTAATCCACTTTTATACATTCTATATATAATATACATATATATTAAATACCTAAATATAATCCAATTTTATACATTAATCCACTATTACATTTTATCCACTTTTAAGTTTTTTTTTGATGATTGAACTTTGTGGTACCTCAAGGAACTCGAATAAAACGAAGACCACGAATTATTTCATCTTGTATATATGAAGCGTGTGCTATTGGCGCCCAGACCCCCTCTTCAATTTCTTATTCGAGAGCAGCTCCCAAACCACTGTGACTAGCGTTCTACAATTCTGATCGTATTGGAACAATTTCGTGGTGTTTGCGATAAAGCCTAGAATACTGTTGCACGCTAACTGGTGGCGTTCACACCACACAAATTTTTCTTGTTACTAGCTTTCAAAGACGGGCGGAGTTGGTCTGAGTGGAACTACAGCTTAGGGAAAAAATCTTTGCAAAGGTTTTAGAATACCCAGAAAAGACCTGAGTTGCTTTAGTGTTTAGAGTGTTTCGAGTGCCAATACTGCGTCTATTTTTGATCTTTTTTGGACGATAATCTTCAGAACCGATATCAAAACCCAACCATGACAGTTTATCAAGAAATGTTTGCATTTTGATAATTAGAGAGCACATACCTCATCATCCAGGCGAACAAAAACTTTCTCGATTAAAAAATTATGCTCAAAAGCTGAGCCTTTGGAAACAATGAGGGTTTCAATGAGGAGGAAAAACAGAAATTTCCTGTGACACCCTGAAGTGTTTTGTCCATTGCCTTTTGGAATTTCTCGGTCATGTTTGTAAGACCATTAAACTAAAACCACTTTTTGAATCTGCAGGTGCCAGTCTGTTTGCCACAAACAATTTTGAAGTTACAATGACTGCTGACTGTGTCACTCGACGTAACTTGGCTAAAATCGTTTTTGAAGTCCAGCGAAGTAAACCACACTTTTCTTCTCATATCTTTTATTCGACGTAATTATCTGGGCAGCTAAACCTAATAATTCCAAAAAGTTTTGCATCTGATATTGGTTTTTGTGAATCTGGTCATTCATGGGCTTTGCATCTATTGCCAGCTTTATCGTATCATCCTTCTTGACTGTTATGACTATCGGAGAAAAAAAGCGTTCGCTTGTACACTTATTTAATTTTACAAAGTGCCCCTCCTGAACAAGTTAAAGGATTTCTGCTCCTGCCTTCTTCTCAACATGTACTGGAACACGGCGCCCTTTTTTGGATAGGAACAAAGGGTGGTTTAAACATAGAGAAGACTTGTTGATTCTTAGCCCTGCCTAACCGTCAGAAAACATGACCGAATTCGTTCTCATAATCTGATCTCCAGAAATCTGATTTGTCACTTTGTTGTGTTTCTCAGATTATGCCCACCAGTGGACTTGACGGACCAACTTGCATTGTTCGAACTCCTAATTGGAACTGAAGATATAAACCAAGCAGACAACGGGTGCGGTTGTCCGATACCAGGAATTTTGCTGATTTTAGATTCCAGCCCAATGACGATACATCGACTACCAGAACACCGAATAGCTCAATCCTCCTTTGATTATAATCTACATGAACCGTATCAATTGGGCAGTCTTGCTCATCTAGAATGAGTGCTGAAGGAACATATTTGACTATGATATCCGCTGTTTGTCTGTTTATAAATGAAGCTGGACTGTGTGTAACTACCGTCAATTTGAATAACGTTTTGATGCATCGTAGAGTAACCTCAATACAACCAATACAACGTTTTTTTTTCCGTTGCTGAGTTTAACACCACTAGTTTTTCAAAGGAGGCAGCAATTGGTGGATAACGAATTACGGGTCTTGATATATCATCAATGGCAAGGACTGCAAACGCAGAATCTTTATCCGAAGTCACAAAATTGCAACCTTCCTATGTTCTTTCGTCAGATGCTGCATCAACGTTAGCAATACTTTTAGAGCTGCAGCATTTTGCGACACGGCCGCTTTACTACAATTCCACAATTCCTGCAGGTCACGTTCCTGGCTGCTCATTTCTGTTCGTGTCTCTGAGTGAGTTTTTTCCCAGAGAAATAACACGGTTTGACATCTTTTGAAATTCCTCAGCTGGAACAATTAGAATTAGATTTTGTCCAGCTGATTCGGTCCGAAAACCTCTTTTTCTGGACATAAAACGTGGGTTGTTGCTTAATCCGGAAATTCTGCGAGTTATTTGATCTTTTTTGGGATGAACTGCCTGGGTGTGCCAAATTCCCTGCAGTTTGTGCTCCTTTTTGCTGCAATAATGAAGACTTCAGAGTCTCTTCAGGAGTAGTACATAGTCGAATAATCACATTCCGTTGGATAACTTTATAGGGCATCTCAGATATAAGAATATCATTTACGATATAAAAATATCAATTTAAAGCCCCTCTTAGATAAAAAAAATATCACCTGAGATATGAAAACGTCTGGAGTTTTCAGTAGTTTGCGCGGGTCGCATCTTTTCCATAAAGTTAGATTTGGCCGATCCAAAAATCCCAACTGCTTGGCGGGTCTGATGCTGGCTTGAGCCAAAAAATAGGTACTGCCAACATGTCGGTTTGGTCTACAGCAACAGGAACTGCTAGCTGCGCCATGTGGTACCTCAAGGAACCCGAATAAAACTAATACAAAGATTTAATTCATTTTGTTTATACATATATGTGCAACTTTATAGTCCCTAGTTTAATTTAGGCAGTAAAACATACGTTGAGCACAATGAAATGAAGAGTTGAGCACTGCCTTTATTATTTTTATAATTCGTTTTATTCATTAATGAACTCAATTTTTATTCGAACAATTGAGCAAAGAAGTTTCCTCTATAAAAGTAAAAAGAATGCGGCGAAAGTTTTTCAAGTGATTGATCCAGTCGCGTAGCTTTTCTCCCATACTGAGCTCTCAATTCATATAACTTTCTTCTGATTACCATCAAGTTTAACAGTTTCTCATAAGGTAATTTCAATTTAGTTGAAAATCGTAACACCCGATGTGGGCCAAAATGTAAGAACGTAAGTTGCCCACAATTCAATTATAGGTCGGGCACAGTTGAGACCTAGATTGAGCAAAGTCAAAGCCTTAATGGAGCATCTTATTGTTTCTTCATTTTTGTTTATAGTTTTTTGTTTTGTTTGTGTACGGAGAAATGACTGACGCCGAGTTTTACATATACAGTTTAAGTGGCTACAAAAACCATCAAATTAATCTGAAAAGGCAGACTTTTGAATCTAAATCGTTCAACTAGAGGCGACTTGGTCTGAACAGTGAAACATTTCAGGCTGCATTTCTCGGCATTACGAGCAGTGTATGTGTATGTGTTTTTGGTCTGCTACTGATGGAACAAAAGCTTAAAAAGGCCTAGACGAATGAACACGTTCGAAACCTCCGTTTTTTGCAACCTTTCTCGTTTTACTCGCTAATTGCTGAATCAGTCTGCTGTACATACAATTTACGGAATCGCGGCTGAGGAAACTTCTAAGATACTTGGTGTGACTTCAAGCGGCTGTTCTTTGATTTTTCGCTTTTTTGTAAAAAAAAAGAGCCCCGAGGTTGCAGTTTATTACCATTTCCTTGAGATTGTTTGGATGACTCTATTCAATATTCGAGAGATGTGAAAGAAGTTTGTTGTATAGTGACGTTTCTATGCTTAATTTTATGTCAAATCTGGATTATGTAATTTGATTCATTTTGGTTACTAAGTACTGCGCCTGCTTCGGCAATCTTTGATGGTCAATCAAAATCGAGCTCCAGATAAAATTTGTAAAAAACGCTTTTATAGATGACAATGTTTCTTTTTTGTACAAAAAAAAGCAAAAATAACAACCTTTTTCTAAAAAGTTGTCTCACAAACCTTAAAAACTATAGACAATTTTCAATTACTTGTTGACTTTCTACGTTTTTTGAGAAAAGAAATTCAGGCTCAACTCATTAAAAATTT